TTATAACTGTAGCACAGCGAATTATAATCAAAACAAAGTTTTGAGAGGTGGAAGTAGCGTTTAGCGGAAAATCCCACAACAAAGTGCACACAATTGTGCTAGACAACACAAGTAATATGGAAAAAAGCAATGGATGGTTTAGGAGTTGCTAGCTTTGGCTGTTTTGCTTGCTCACTACAGCTCGTGACGCACGAGGGGCCGTTATCACGATGAAGTGTAAGTGACGCTGTTGCCAGTGGGAGAAAATCTGTGGGGCATTTTTAATATTCGCCACTTGCGTACTCTCTTGGAAGATATTCACATTGAACTGCACATGCCTCAAAAACCCTTAAAGCTAGATGTACAAATGAGCTGGTATGTTTCTAGTAGCCTAATTAAAGCTTTTTGGCATACATTTGTATGTACTAGTTTAAAGAGCTATGGTGTCAGATCGGTACTCATATTGGCTGATACCCTCTGTTCAGGTATCGGGATCGTATTGGCACTGAAAAAGTGGGATTATGCACATCTAGCAGATTGTTTACCATGTTAATCGAAATTCCTGGATACAAACATCTCATTTAGTGACTCTGGCATGAAATTTTATATCGCGATTATAGTGACAAAATTATCGTGATTGTCAGTACAGATACACAAACTGACATTTCACCAAATTTAGTAGTGAAACCACCAATAAAATTTAGCAGCACTGTGCAACCTTCTGTTTGTGTAAACATTAAAATAATCGCATAGCTAATAGCTCTGTCACTGCTTACTGCTCTGTTTTCACTGACATTAAACAAAGCCATGTCTCATGCAGTGCGCCTGCATCTAGGAGACCGTGTCTGGGAGACTGACGCTAACTTTGACTGATGCTGGACAATATTTAACTTTAGTTTTTCAAAGCACAATAACCATGGATTTAATAATAATTCTTCCACAGTTTTAATATTAATTCAAACATGAAAAATACTAACCATCAAGATCTTTTGTGTGGTTTACTGTGAAACTGCTAATTGTTTCATCCTTACTGTTAATATGAATATTTTAATATAAAAGAACAGAGGAGGGATAAAAATGTAAAGGTTAGCTGCAAGTTCTAAACCTTATGGTGAGTAAATACAAATAACCAGGAGTTTGCCTGAAGCACTTTGCCTTCTGTGTGCTTGTCATATGAAATATGAGTCTGAGAATAAATTGCTTATGATTTTAACCCTTCCATTAACAAAAAGGATATTGGAATCACTTGGATATTGCTTTAATTTAATGAGTTGTTGTTCGAATTCATTGCCTGTCAAAATACAGAAAGACGTTATATATACTTTGTCTCCTGTGCGCAAAACATTGTTTGGTTGAATCTCTCTTTTAAAGCTTTATGTGCAAGTTCTTCATTTATTTATAAAGTGCATTTAGCTAATATCTGTTAACACACTTTTGCTTCATGTTACTAGAAGAAATCTGGATTTTGAGTTTAAGATTGCAAATGAGAACATTAAAATTAACCACAGCTTTCCTTAGGCTATGCTTTCTCTCCTGGAAAATGGTGTGACCTCTTGGCTAATTATCAGTGGAGCTCTATGTGTTATGTAGAGAGTAAAAACGCAACCATGCATATGTGCGTGCATGCATGCGAAAGACACATGAGTATAAATAGACCAAGTTGCATCTCTTAAAGCCTAAAAAAATTTAAATTCTGAATAACCACACCTAGTGACATTTTCTTTTCGGGTTTATTATAAAAGTCTTCTTTTATCTTCTATACTAAATATGCCATGCGATAAAGCTTAACTGATTGCCTCTTGGTTGCATTACATTTGTTTTAGCTTTTTGTCTTCCTGGGACAGCATTGTTGTTTAGTGTATGTTTACGTATGTGGGGTATGTGGTCCTAGGATATTTCATAAATCTTGCTATTCTTTGTATTCAGCAAGAACTATGTGATTTGATTTTAATTTTTTTGTTCCTCTAGGGCAATTCTGACATTTGTTAATGTGCTTTTTCAAGTTAGTTGGCTCAGTAAGGTGGTGCCCTTTACCGAAGCCCCCCCCCCCTTCCTCCCCTAAAAATGTCTCTGCAAGAATCAAAATCGGATACACCCATCCTCAAACATGCATTCAATGGATCACAGGTGCTTGTGTTTGGCCAAAAAGTATACAGAATTGCATACAGCATACAGAATTGTCAGGTGCCAGTTTTGTCAAAACTTTACATTTCCCGCCATTATTCTAATTCATGCTCAGTTATATTTAAGTAACCGTAGATACTTTGAAATGTCTTGTGGATTATAATATGCATGGAAGGTTGACCTGATTCTTCACAAACTACATATTCGATATAGAGTTTACCGAGCAGTACGTTGGTTCAGCCAGTTTGTATTTGTATTTGTGTTTTTATATTTTGCTTTATTGTTTTACTAGCTTTTTGGCTCAAACTCAATTGGAGTGTATGAAACTTGGTTTCCAACCAATAGGGTTCAAGTGGAAGCATTGCACAAATATAAAATTGTCTGCGGCAATGGCAGATTTGAAAGGAAATGAAATATCAAGCTGGAATTAAAAGGCTGAGGTAGACCCAGGAGGGGATTCCAGCATAAGTGACAGGGAGAACGTATAAACTCCACACATCCTGAGTGGAGGTAAGATCATTTTGCACCTGATGAAATGATAAAAGTAGATGAGAGCTTTGTAAACTACTAATAATATTAACCTTCTGCTTGTTCCTCTCCTGAAAGCAATGGAGTATTTGTGTTGAGGTGTTTGGTTTTAGTGACGGTACCAGCAACCATTTAGGAATTATTTTCAACTTCAGGCCAGAATAGGATGGTCTTATTGCTCGGTGAAAAACTTGTGTGGGGGGGGGGGGGAATGCCTCTTAATTTGTAGCACAATGGCTGTGCTGTAGGTGATATTTTGGCTCAGGGGAGTTTGAAATGTCCGTCCCTTTTTGCCAGATTTTCACTCTGCTTGGTTTGATGTAAAACCTCTTTACTTGATATTTTGCTGTAAGATATCTGTAAGATATGAAAGGTATGCTGCTGGATTTCACAGCAAAACTGTATTTGTAGATGTACCTTTGTGAATAAAAAATCAGCTGGATATCAAATTGCATTGTTTTAAGTGTATCCTGTGAATCGTTGTTTTGACCTGTAGTGCAACTGTAGCGTGTGTTGAATGAGTCTTGTGCAGTGACACTCCCACTGCAGTGGCACTGCATGTGAGCCAAACCACACAGCGCACCTCCCCCTACAGCTGCACACAGAGCCGCTCCCACATTCTGCTGCAGTCGACCTGCAGGCAAACTGGATACAAGCAGCAGGAGCTGGCATAAGCCGGTTCAGACCAGACTGTGCTGGTCTCTGCAGCAGCCAGTGATCTGAGGGACTGTATGTTTGAGGAGCTGATAAACCGATTAGCTGTCAAGGACTTCTCATTGTGATAAGTGAGGATCTGTTTGTGTGTTTGGGTGGGGGATAAATTTTTGTTTGCATTTTTAAGTCCCCATACCAGGGCCACAAAGTTAAGAAAGGAACATGAGGGCCAAGTGACAGGCCATGTTCACACCTGGCATTAACGTGCGTTTCCGTACGCCGATGGAACGCCGTAATACTCAAAAGGAAATACATAGTAATATCTATAAATAAATAAATAAATAAATAAATATATCAATGATTATTGTGTCCTTTTTAAATAATTCCATAAGGTATTAATGCTTCATAATATTTGTCTTCTACACATGATCTTTAAATTGTATTTTGTAATAACATTTTCATTAGACTGTCATAAAATTATTTCACATAATTTAAATGTAATTACTTAAAACAAAAAAAACTTTTTCCTCAGTTAAACTCACATTGTAGACGTGCATTTTATACCACATCATTAAAAAATCTAAGATATACCTAGGGCGGGCTAATACTTTACTATTCAAGGGCAAAGGGTTCTGTCAGTAAAGCATTGTGTTGGATGCCATATGATAATATTTTGGCTTTTAAACATAACCACTGAAGCTCAAAATTTATACTACGGTATATAGACAATTATACTATGTTTATATGTAATGCATATACTATGCATTATATGTTTCTACTCGCATATCCTTTTTCTAGGGTGCTGAACATACATTACCTATACGCTTTAATTTTATGTTCATACAATATTTACTGCCGCATTTCACCGATATTAATGAAGCGTTTAACAGCTTTTCCATAAATAAGGAATATTCATCAAAGATTGCATTAAATATGATTTGTGCAAATTCCAAAACATATTTCATAAATCACTTCTTACGCAATGTATTTTTCCCGAATTTGCACGGAACATTAATCATGCGCATTTTGACAAGGTTTCTATGCGAACGTGTTGCGACAGTCCGATATTTAACCAGCTTCCTAGCAGATTCAAACTTATTTTTTGGTGTTGTACAAAAAAAAGTTGTAGTTCACAATGTAGTTTGGTGCACAGTGGCCCATTCTGCACCAACAGACGATCTGACATAATTCATGTTAAATACCTCTTGCGCGTTTAATGAATATATATGTACGTAGTTCTGCCCACATGTTTACGTCAGCTGAGTAGGCGGTCCTTCAATGCGGCCCAGGACACATTCGCGTTCACACTGCTATAAGAATGTGGCCATATGCGGAACAGACCACCTCCGAATGTGGTCTGTGTGATCCGATCTTAATGCACCCTCAACGCGTTCACACCTGTATTTAGTGCTGTCCACTTGTGATCAGCTCACCCAGGATGCAAGTTAATACCAGGTGTGAACAGGGACATAGGCAGTCACATCCATATATTGACACTTAAGCCAATAGTAACTTGGATAGAAACGCCTCCACCTGCTGAGTATGCCCAGTTTCATGTGGAGCGTGCCTAGATCTTCAAAGGAGCAATGCGAGTATTGGAAGTAACCCTGTTATTTTAGGCTGTAGCTATCATAGAGGCCATGCAGGCAGGCCTCGGTGTTCCTGTTTTCCCACCCATCCAGTCGGCCTTACTCTCTTTTCCACTTCCCCAACAGTGAATGTCATGCGCTGCACTGTGTGTCACCAAGACTACAAACAGAATGATCTGGTGGACAACTACTTTGTAAAGGACACATCAGAGGGTTCTTGTGGCTCCGATGAGAACTCTGTCCAGGTGAGCAGGCTTTTGTTTTTTTTTAAAGACTTCCTGTTGGTTATTTCTTGAACGCATCAGTGACTCTGGAATGGAAAGTGAAAAGCTACCTTGTAGAGTTCTCTGTGCTCATTATTAGTCTTCAGACTTCATTGAGGGCTGGCAGCCATCATTACTGGTCCGTGTCTCTCTTCTTCCATCTCTTCCCTGTATGTTTACTTGTGCGTGCAGGTCTGCACCAGCTGTGAGGACAACGCCGGCGCTGTGGGCTTCTGTGTAGAGTGTGGAGAGTGGCTGTGCAAGACCTGCATTGAGGCTCACCAGAGGGTAAAGTTCACCAAGGACCACAAAATCCGCAAGAAGGAGGAGGTCTCCTCAGGTAAGTGGCCTTCAGCAAGCTCACAGTCCTCGTCAGCCGTGTGAGGAGACACTATTAGGACTGTTGTGAACCTGGATATTGGAGCCACTATGTGACAGTAGTAACACCATGTTTATCAAAAGTATGACGAGCTCCATCCTGCAGGAATACATCACTAATGTAATATACCTGAAATGGTGCACTGAAAGATGTAGTGACTGATTAGATTACACTGACATGGTCTAGCCGTCTCCTGTCATGTAGTTATTCACATGATATTTTCCCCCCACATGATGCACTTTTTTTCCTTTTTCCATTGAGAGCACTGTGAGGCAGAGCATCCCTGTTACTATCCCGAGTTACTATTTCCTAAGCCAACATGCCGCAGAAGTGAAGATGCAATCAGATGCCATTAATATATATGGGAAAAACCATCTGAGCATTCCCAGACCTAAAGTATAACACCAAATATCACATAAACCCTAAAATAATACTAATATATAGGAAAAGCAGGAATGATGTGATACACAGCCTATATAAAGTATAAATAATGTACGTACAGTGTAGTTTCACTTACCAGAATGAATGCAGATTCTTTGTAAGAAATGCATCATTAGGCGATTTCGCCAGTGTGTTTGTGTGTTCTTACACAAACTTGGAAGGTACAGTCCACTACACACCTAAGCTATATGGTACAGCCAAAATATCAATAAAAAGTATAGTATAATACATAAACTAACATAGTTATCATTTTCAAATATTATGTACTGTACATAATTGCATGTGCTATACTTCTATATGGAAGTTTGTTTACACCAGCATCACCGGAAACGTGTGTGTATTGCGTTGTCCTATGACGTTACGACGGCTACGACATCGCTAGGTGGAATTTTTCAGTTCCATTATAATCTTATGGGAACACTGTTGTATACGTGATCCATTGTTGATCAAAACATCATTATGCAACTCATGACTGTATATCTTTAATTGGCTTCCGGATTAACCAGCGCTAAATGCTATTTTCACTTTTATCCTTTTTTTGTAAAACTCGTATTTCTTTTGGTTAGCAATAACAGGTGCCTTTATTAAAAGCAAAGTGGTGTAAGGCGAACGGTCATAAAGCTGGGATTTCTGTACGTCTGCGATTAGCAACTTCAGTGTTCAGTCAGGCCATAAAATTTAGCAGCTATGATGGGGCCTGTCAGAATTGCTGAGCGATTAGCCACTCCGATATTGGCTCAGCACAAAGCAATATAAAACTGTACTGCAATCATTTTTAATTGCGTTTATTTTGTAATACAGTGATCCCCTGCCTTTCGCGTAAGTTACGTTTCAGACCCATCAGCGATAGATGAAAGACCATATAAATAAACATTTTTTTATGGTTTAAGCCTTTAAATACCCCTCA